TTTTTTTTTTTTTTTTTTTTTTTTTTTTTTTTTTTGGTCTATGCCGCCATCTAAAGTATTTGAAGAAAAATTAAACAACTGTGACTGTAGAAGGTATTATAGCCTAACCTAATAAATTTTAATTTTATGATAAATATAGAGTATGTATTAATTCATAAACGAGAACAGATTGATGAATGCAAAAGCCTTACTGACGGACAACAGCAAAACATTGTTTTAGCATTTGTGAAACAACGTACGTGAACCAATCGGCCACAGAAGGTGTCCAATTTCAAATAAGCGTTTTTAGTTTAGTATTTTTGAAATCTTATTCCTTCTTCCCGTCAATTTTTGATTTTCTTTTTTGTTTTATTTTAAAATCTTTTAAAAAAAATTTCTTGTAAAGTGAAATCGACATCTTAAAAAAAATGACAATTGATATTCTAGCTGACAAGTTATTCTCCAGAAACTTAAGTGCAATTATGTATTTGAATAATAATTATTAACTCTGTGTTTAATAGCCAAAACAGCAGAATACAATAAATTTTTTAATGAAAAACAACTAAACTAAAAAAAAAAAAATGCAAATTAAAATTCACTTCTATTTTGTGTCGTTTAATCAAGTTTTTTAAATTTTTCTTAAACCTCCTTTCCCGGTAATTTTACAGTATTATGTTACAAAGAATATATCAGAAAGCTGAAATAATGATGTTCCAAAAATGAACAGTAATTAAAAATTATGTTCAACAGAACATAAACAGTTCAAATTCAAACCGCTTAGAAATTGAAGAAAAATTTATGATTATTATGACTGTATAGCGGATTCTATGTCTACTTCTGATTTTAAAACAGCAAACAAGAAATTAAAATGAGATTTAAACTAACCTGCTTACAGATATTCTTAAAGTTTTGACTTACTTTTTTTTTTTGCTAAAGCATTATAGAATTTCGTTTCAAAACTATAACCACAAATGTCACGTCTGTCTTGGCTTCTACGAAATACTTTTCCACACTGTTGCTGCTACCGTTACGGCTGCTATTACTGCTTCTATTGCTGTTATTGGTGCTGCTACTCCTAATCGCAGTATACATGAGATGCGTTGTTTTCACAGAATTTTGTGATGTACAACTGACTGATTAGCCAGTTTTGATACTATTCGCGAACAGTGATTGCAGTGATACTATGACAATATAAAAAATTGAAAATGATGAATCAGAGTACAGTGAAAAGGAAGAACGACAGACGTCTGAAGCGGGAAATGTACACAACAGAGGTGATTCACTTATTTTGCTACACTGTTCGTGTATTCCTCGTATGTAGTCGATGGTTTTTGATAGAAATAAACAATAGACAATACCCATATGTTCTGGTTGCAGTATTTCATATGACCAGTACTCGTAGGTGTCGTCTAAAGATTGACAACAGGTTAGTCAATCAGAAGTGTTAGAAAAAGCTCTCCAAAGATTCTATCAAACAGAAGTTCAACGTTTAATCACTTACTTGCTTAATAAACTTAACTATTAGAAATTTTAATCATTCTAGTCCAACATTTGATGCATTTTACCTTCTTGTTTGCTTTAGGTCTTCTTTGCTTCCATAAAAATATCACAAAAACATTAAAACAGTTTATTCAGGTATGTACACAATAATCAACAGCACTTGGCTAAGTGACTGACTTCAGGTATAAGTTAAAGAAGAAAGCAGCGAATAACGTTTACAAGCATAAAATAAGTAACTGTCTTAAATGCCTCTCTGCTTCATACTAAAAAAAGTTCTTCTTTAACTCTTATTATTATAAACAATAAAAAAAAATTTTTTTAAAAAAGGTATTTTTTTATTCATAATAATAGATACGTGACGAATCAATTACTAGTGATGGAGCCACACTGTTTATCCGAAATTGAAACTCAGTATGAGCCTTATCATTCAGGAAGCCAAGACCATGAAATGTGCACTGCCCGGCAACTTCGAGCTTCTCTATAAATGGCTTGTTTGTACCGTACTCCAATTCTCTGAAGCATCTGTCTGCTAAAAAAGGAATGCTGTTTTATCTAAAAAATTCCGTCAAAGTCGCTCGCAGATGAAAAAAAAATAACCACCTACCAAAGCCTCCATTTCTAGGCTGGTTCTTTATCAAATGATTACTGAAAGAAATATTTTCCTTCGTACTTAATACCGATCCTTTCAACTCCAACGGCCGATTTTGTTTTCTAGAGACATGGCTGTTACTGTTCTTTTGTGCAGTAAATGTTTCGCGAACAGCAGACACAAAATTATCAACATTTTCAACTGCACATGAACTTAGACGAAGAGTTTCCAGCGGTGAGTGAGTTATCACTTGACTAGGCTCACATCGAATAGTCCAATCCCTGAACATTGTTGGCAGCCATTAGAACTGCCTTTAATTTAAAAAAAAATCATCTTGAGAGCTTGCTGTATGTTTGCCAGAAAGAGTATGCATTATTTACTGTTTCGGTAAATAAACTAACAATTGTGTTTTAGCTTATTAAGTGCAACAAAATAAATGTCTATGCTAACCTTAAAGTCAGTCTGTGCATAGTTATTCCGCGCTGTTGTAAAATCCTGCTAAAATATGTTAAGGAGAGTACTGCCAAATCATAGTCCAAACAAATTATTTTCAGGCTTTTTAATTCCATTGGTGACAGAGCCAAAAGTTGAGCAAAAACCTGCAATTACATGCTGAGTTTTCTCGAAAAAATAAAACCTTTTCTCCCTGAAATATACTTGTCATAAGCTGTCTTTGAAAACTACCTCGTTACTTGATTTTGCGTGAATTTCCATACTAATCTGTATGCTCGGAAAACGTGAAACAATTGCTGATATTATTTTTGCCACATTTCCTGCTTGCTGAAAACCTTCATGAATCTGTGCCGTCATCTGAGACAAATTCTGCAAAGAACATACTTTTTCAATTATTACGCAAGATTAGGGCCACTTACAGCAAAGTGTTCATCCTAACCAAGAAAACTTTAAAGTGCGCTACTACACATTTCTCAAATGACTTCAGTGATTTTGCTGCAGAACTGCAAAAGAGTTAAAATCACAGAAAGACAAGGCCTTTTTAAAGGATGTCTTTAAAGTAGAACACAGTAAAGAAAAGTGTAACTCAACACTTATTCGCAGAAGTTTAAAGCACAAAAACTGGTCAAATGTTTGCAGTTCCACAGCAATTCAGCACTAAAAAAATTCCTCCACCAATGTTGCTTATTCAATATACCTACTAAAAACAATTCTTTTTCAATGTCAAGGAATTTTTGCGTTGTTTGATTGTCCAACCGGGCCAATATGAGCCATAGGTCTTCCACATTACTCCAGTAACGACGGCTTGCTTCACGGTTTAATGGAAGCTTAAAATTAACGAATTAGGAACCGTTGTGGAAATATTCTATCCATCACCTTTATCCTGTATGTCTTCGCTATGATTCCTATCAAAAACAGCAAAGATAGTACTTAAAAAAAAAAGGAAAAAAAAGAGAAAAAACCAGTTTGTCAAAAAATAAAACCTCATCATTTTCCGAAAGCAAAAAAATAAGAGTTAGCTAGACTAGTAGATAAAAAAAACCAGAGAAATGCTTTATAACTTCATCTTTAATATGACTAACGCATAACTTACAAAAGCTAAATAGTGCCGTGGAAATGAATACCGAACTAGATCATATGATATATTTTTTGATGCTTCAGCTCAAAAGTCGTGCTTCAGAGGAAGCACTAGAAAAAACACAAAAACTACTTTAAGTAGGCGAGAAAAAAGGCAATAATTTAGCTTCTTGAGTTTACCTGATCAATATTTGTCAAAAACTTCACATCACAGCTCAGTTTGTTGATTGACAACCTCGATCTTTTCAAAATTCCTGTTAAGAAGTCATAAGCTTCAAAATTACAACATATTGAAAGTCGTTTAAAGGGTTTCTGCTGGTGAGCCGATACTGTGTTGTACGTAACAGACTAAAAATAATTTACAGATTTTGAATACAGTCACTAATCTTCTCCTGTTTAATGTTACTTCTAATTATTTTTGACAAAAGTTTTGATTGAGATTTTTGCCATATAGCAGCAAGCAATATATTCACCTTCAAAAAAAAGAAGGAAAGAAAAAGTAAAAAAAAAAAAATTTTACTGCATTTACTTGCCTAATACCATTAATTTTCAGTGCAAAACCGATTTGTGAAGCAAAAAATAAAGCTACATCCAAACAGAAAATAAAAGCTAACCTGTTCAACATTAAGTTCACGAATTTCTTTTTTGAGTATTCGCGCTATAATAGAACGCCATCTTTTGCAGATCACTTCTAGTCGTACCAATTCCCTATAGGAAAAGGTTTCAAAAATTTGACAAAGGACCAGGTCAGGTAGATTTGGTATTATGACACGTTGTTTCAGCTGCGTAAAATCAATTTCCTCGTTATCCCATTTCTGATACATTTCGGCCTGGTGATGAACTTTTTTGCCCGGTGAGCAACGATAAGACAGAGAACTTTACACTGCACCAAAATCCATTATTTTAAAATCAGCAGAGGGGGGAAGAGAAAAATGTCGAGAGAAATAGGAGGAGAAATAGTGCATCGTTTCACCATGACGAACCAAATTTTACAAGTGTTATGAACTTGTAAAACTTGAGGTTGGCAAAAAACCATGTCGAAAATAATGGAACAAAAGAACGACTGTAGATTTTTGCCAACTAGTTATGATAAGGTAAACTAAGAATTCATTGTTATTTCTATCCTTCTCTAACTAACAGTATGCATCAAGAACATGATTTCTATAGTCACTAGAAGTCGTTTTCCCAATATTTGCAGAAAAAATAATGTCAGAGATTCAGCAGTAGTTTCACTAAAGATTCCTAAAAAGTAACTAAAAAGTTGGCTGGGAAAAGTAGTAAAGATCCAAATCTTAAGTAGAAAAAACCACACTGAATATTTTCTAAAAATGATAGTGTTGCTTGAGTGGCAGAAAGTGAAAAAAATACATTATACAATTCAAGTCCAAAGGCGAATATAAGTGAGACAGATCTACGGAAATTGGAAAACCCTGGTTCTTGTAAATATACGATAGCAGATTGAAACAAATGACTGAAAAGTAGTTGCTAAATTAGCTGCCAGCATTAGCAACTGACTGAATTTCGTTGCTCCGCCAGTAGCTTATGATAGCTGCAAAGGAATTTACAAAGCTTAACACTCTGAGAAACGCTCAACTCCAGAGCTGCTTGCAACCAAACTCTAAATACACTATCTTAATCTATCTTTCTTTTCAGGTTTCACATCAGAATTATACAATAAAAATCAAGTCGAGTTGAAAAAGAATGATGACAACAAAAGAACCAGAAAAAGGTTGCTATACACTTAAAAAAGAACAAATAAATGTTGTAAAAACAGCGTCAGAAAACTGTGAGCTGGAGAAACATAGACTGAAAGTTCAAACCGGTTCAAGCTGCATTGTTAAGATTATGCTTCTTGTTAACTATGCATTCAGTGACAGTATAATTCAAGTTTATTTAATTGTTTATTTAACAGGATGAGGCTCATTCCTCACCACATGACTAGAAACAATCTTAATATTTTTTTGGTTTTGAAGTCAGCCCTAGCTAAGATACGCTTTTTCCATTTCTTCTTTTGTTAAAGTGCAAATAACCGTCTTCGTTCCGTAAATCACAGTTACAACCCGCAAAAGCCCTCGTTTACTTAGGATTGAGTTCCATCATACTTTCTCATAGAACTTTATTTATCAGACATTTACTGCAATAAACTGTCTTACAGTTAAGGTCAAAGACAATATCGGCTTTTTTTTGGCTCCGCCACAATGTAAAAACTGTAAAAAGTCGCTGCTTTGACCAGTGGGTTTTAGAAAATACCAGTAACGCTAGAGCGCCGGACAACTGAAAACCCTTAAGCACGTGAAGTAGCAGTGAAAGCTGTAGTAAATGCAAGTATTTACTGCATTTCAAACACCGCCTTTATTAATCCGGAAACCTGAAAAATTTGCTGCAACCTCAATCTCAACATGCAGCTCTTTCATTCATCCCAATAACAAAGGGCTTTCTAAATACTTGTACTTTTACTTTCATATGAATAAAAAAATTTATTTGCCACTCCAGAACAGCAGCAACATCAACAGTATGCAGTACTTATACAACTTCTTCTGTGTGTACATACATCCAAAATAGCAACGACCAATCAAGTTTCCTTATACGCTGGACACTGAACAGACCACATATGTTACGAGGGTGTTTCAGTTTCAGGAGCATATTCACCTTTTTTACAACGAAATGAGCGAATAATCGGTTTAACCGATAAGAAAGTCTTCCTGCACTGACTAAGTGTTAAGAAGGAATGCAGCTATTTGTTAAAACACAGATCAAATTTTCTTTCTTTTTATTTCGCCATTTACATTAATTACACCATCAGGCATCAGTAGGAGAACATTTTGACACATCATACTTTGGCAAGATATACACATACCCTTCATATTACCTTCTAAACATGTTTACACTAAGATTCTGTAAAGGACTTTTCACCGCACAAGGGAAGGAGCCAACGAACGGGGAGAAAGGAATGAGCAAATAATACTTTAGTAAAAAAATGTGTAAAATTAAAAAATACAAATCTAAAATATTATACTTTCATACAACTACTTTGTGGTTGATTAGAAGATGTATTTCGCTGACATAAATTATTTGTTGATGAGATCGTATTTTGAGGTGGGACAACTGAAAATTTTTTACGCTGTTGCGCATCTGCGATTGAATTACTGTATGAAATACCTTCTTTAGTGCTACTGTTCGTTTGAGGTACAGATAATGAAAAAAACAGAAGTGACAACTCGTCAACTGCTGTTTGTCTTTCCAGGTCCGGATACGAAGAAACATCGGACGAGTAACTGCAAATGCAAAATCAAACGGTTACGCTGCGAAATCATTCCAAAAATAAGTATTGTAGCATTGCAATTGGGTACCCCGACACAGTTTCTAACGGTTCCATGGGATCCTCACGGATTAACTGAGTTGCCACTGGCCTAATCGCCCGCGGTTTATGATAACGTCTTCTGTGCTGAGCACGAGATGATCGCGATTTTAATTGAAGGTTATTTCGCCGAGATAAACGTGAAAGTGTATCTCGTTTGCGTCGATGAATGTAATCATCGTAAAACATACGCGGGCATGAAGTTCCCAGCGATAAAGCTGCGTAGTGGCTGTTAGAAACCTAAAAAATGCTTTTATCATAGCTCAATCCATAAACAACGCTTGCAATCCCTTCCAACAAACACTACCTCGTTTGGCGTTACCCGCTGATACGGCTGTGACTTTCGATTTTCTCGCAGATTTGTTTCATGAGCTATTTGCATATAAGAAACATTTGTTGAAAGAACGGAAGAAGCATGTGAAGCATTATTTCGGAGAGGTAGCAACGGCACTTCTTGTTGACTGAAGTCTCCAGAAGATGCGCTGTAAATAACATAAGGTAAATGTGATTTACATAGTTGATAGGAAGTTACTTTTATAAGAATAAGTGACTCCCTGACAAAATGAATGATAGATTTAGACCAACTAACCTTACAATCCTATTCAGTTTTGGTGAGCGAGTTTTTTCGGTTTTTGGGTACTGCTTGTAAACCACATCGTATTGGCAAAGAGGACACCGGCTTAAAAAATGTAAAAATTTACCAACAGGCATTTACTGGCAAAATCAAGTCACCATGAAGTTTTTTAAAACTTCAGCTAAAAAAACAAATTTAGTTAACCTAAATCATACAAAACCAGCTTTTTAGAAGAGTAAGCTAAGAAAATATGGAACCTACCGATTACTCAAGAGCCAAGGATCAACACACTTAGAGTGAAACTCGTGACCACAAAAAAGAACTCTTAACTCTTGACCATCTTCGTAGTCCTCTAAACAAATACTGCAGCGCTCCTGAAGCAACCAAACGTTATCTCTTTGATAAACCTGGCTCAACTGAGGACAGTAGAAGCTGTGTAGTTACCTGACTTCCAGAACTTCGTGGAATAGAATACAGCGATCCTAGCACAGAAAACTTCCGGCTTTGACCAACAAAACAAAAAATTTTGTTCTTTCTACCACAACTACCGCATGATTTTCGACCTCCGCTACCCTTCACAAATTTTCTGATTTCCATCCTTTCAAGTGCAGATCTGAAAAATGTCGATTAATAAAAAAAACTGATTTTCAAAAGAAAATGATAGCAACAAAAACACGAACTTAGCTAGTGTCCGCAGGTGGCCGTCATGGACCGATTCAGATCGCCATTTTATTTTAATAAAAACTAATCCTCCAATAAAAAATACCAACAGTATCAGAAATACGAATAAACCAATATTCACAACCGTTGGCCTCAAAACCTGCAAAATTGGAACAGTAATCTATTTAACATTAATCTGAAAATCAAAAAATAAATAAACTGAAAGCTGCCCAAGTGAAAATCACTTCCGTTGGCATGCGCAGACAATACAGTAGTTTTTTCAAGACTAAAACTGTGCAAAAACTTTGGTTAGGAAGGGCTCGTAAAACGCCGATAATCCTCAACTTATAAACTGCTACCAGAAAAAGTAATACAACGCTCTTTTGAAAACCTTAACCAGTATTTAAAAATTATTGAATTTATTGATAAGGTCCTGTTTTAGGCTTTCCTTAGATAAATGCGCCTGTTTATGCAAAAGCTACTTAAAACCTCACAACATGCAGAAAGCAACAATTTGGGGTGTAAGTAAGCAAAAGAATCAAAACAGAAGTTTACTTGTAAACGAAGAGTGTTCGACGACTTGGTCGTGTTAGAAGAAGAATGACGGATTTGAAAGCGAGCAACAGAACCTTGTCGGGTTGCTTCAATCAAATTGGACTTTAATAAATTGGTTTGATTGTCATTCAACATAATGACTGGAATTTTTCCACGACGTGACTAAAAAAGCGGTTTGTTCAAAAAACTAATATCTCCAACGTTTACAATTACTTTACTTCTAGAAGTTATATGTAGTTTGCTGAAAGTTAAGGAAAATCAAAATAAAAATCAAAGAAACGTCTGAGAACCAATAAATTGACCTTGTTAAGTTGCGCTGCAACTCGCCCTTCTGGTCCCACCACCAGTGCAAGAGCATTAGACGTTTGAGCAAAATTTACCTGAAAAAAAAAAAAGCATTATCTTCCATGATAACAAAAACTTTTGTTTGTCTTTCTAATAATATTCAACAGATGCAACTGAATTCATTAAAGTCTGCAACAAAACTCAAAATAGTGATCATGCAGTCAAATTTAAAACATCTAAAAAAAACTTTCAAACGACAAGCCCTTTACAAGAAATAAATTGTCTTTGTATTGATACTACTCAAAAAAAGTAATGTAAAGCAGTGACTTAACACTTATGTTACTAAAAGTAGTGGCAAACGAAAGCATAGAATAAAATTCCGAGTGATATGGTCATAATCTATCCACTTTTTGCATAATACCTAACTGAATTTTTTTACTTGGTCCATTTTGTTCTACTCGATCTAAAATTCCACTCTTGGAAGGCTTAACTAAACCAGTGGCAATAATGTGGACGCAGACAAAAACCTATTACTTTAGCAGTGCAAAAAGTAATTCCATCTACAGTTCATGGATTAGTCTTTAAGCTTCTGTACTTTAGAAAAGTGGGAAAATATTTCAATAAAAAAAAAAAAACAAAACAAATGCATAGACTTTAAAATTGCTTACTGAATTGATCAAAATTGTACTTTTTGCTTCTCACATACAGAAATTTTTTTTTTTGCTTTTAAAATAACAAGCAACAATTTTTTGAAAAAAAAGCTTTGCAATCAAGGAGAAACAAAAATCGACCTGGTTGTCGAGTGATACACATCCAGCCAAATACGTATGATCCTCATTATAAAACATTACCACAATATGATTAGACATCGTATGGTCCACTTTAGTGGTGTCACATGCTCGAAGTGTTGGAGCCTGAATGATCATTAATATGCAGTCATCATAAAACTTCCGATTTTTAAAAACCATTATAGATTAAATTCAGTTAAAACTTCACTTCACAAGAGTAATGTTTAAATGCCTTTGTAGTTAAAATTTTCTTTTTTTACTCGCTAAACAATTGACCCTCAGTTTCACAAATAATCCTCCAAAGCACCTTCTTAGCAACAGGTTTCACATAAACTTTTCCAGTCATTACACAACAGATGCAAATACACATATGCTAGACAATAAGGAGGCTTTCCCGTTTTTTTGAAGAGTATTAACAATCCAATAAATAGTAAAATAAAATACTGATAAAATTTTAAAATCATAAGATTCTCAAACCACCCAACCTATGTAAATGAAAAACAGTATTTTTGTTTATCTGAAAGGTCAATTTCTACACTTAGCAAAAAAGTATTCGTTTTGGAAAGAAAATTACATCCCTGATACAATTTAGGAAACAGTCTTTAAATTGTAGTTGATAGTCGTTACCAATAATGTGACGACTCCGTTTTAAACTTCATTTTCAATATGGTACAGCAAACCTCATTTAAAATAAAAAAAATTTTTCAAAAACACTTTTTTCCTTCTTTTTTTTTTTGCTGTAAATTATTTAATGTGAATTTTACCTAAGAATTATTTGATTCCAGCAATTAAAACATAAAATATGGTGACCTTCAACAAAAATTCTATAGTTGCAGTAGACGAAATGAGGAGGACATGTCAAAAGTTGAAAAGAAATTACCGAAAATTTTTCTCTGCAAAGCCACGAAAAAATTGCCCACCATTAAAGTTATAAAATGAATCCTTCTCAAAAAAGCACAAATTTCAACTCACTATACTTTCAACCTCATAAACATAAAACAAAAAAGCGACAAAATTTTTGCACTGTAATCAGTGTCTTATGTTCTTCTGTAGCCTTCTGCCAAATCTAAAACGATTATACTTTTTTACTTTCACATCAAAATATAAGTTTAAACTGCCCAACAGGATACTGTACGCAAAGGCTAAACCCCACTTTAGAGGAGACGAAATTGATACATTTAAATACACTATAAAAAGTTTCTAACGTCAGTTGACAGTATCGTTTAAATTTATGATACCGTTAATCTTCTCAAAAGTTCAAGTAAGCACCAAAAACCCGTAAGCTAATAAAGGGTAATTTGAAAATTTATCAGTAAACTAAAAATCTGACAGCTGCATTAGTCACTTATCATTGTAAATCAACAGACGCTGTATTCGATATATGTCTATAGTTCTTCCACCAAAATTTTTTCATAAATTCTCTCTGTACATCTCTATCTATTAATTTTGCATATTTTATGCTGTCATCAATCACTTAAATCTAAAAGCGAAAAACTTGAGTGCCATTATATCAGGCCAACTATGAAACTCTACACACGTACCATACAAGCAAACAACTAAAACAAGTTACCTCTTACTTATAATAACCTGCTACAATCAAAATTTTGCAAAGTCTGCTTGATCAACCGTTCAAAAGACCATACTCTAACAGTTTTTGTCAATTAGACAAGTCGAGTATCAGCTCGATGCCAACACTACAGTAACTGTCAACACCTAACAAACAGGTTCCTGAGCTCGTTCAATGCAAAGGAACAATTTGTGAGACATCTAAAACCCCAAATTTAATCGCAATTTTAAGTTAAAAAATTGTAATAATTGTTTAATTTTTTGCAACTTTATCAACTGTTCCAACTTAGCCGTAGTGTGTTATTTGACAAATAAAATAATTAAGTTATGCGCAGCAGATAATGAAACAGTTGACTAGTAGAAACAACTGTCACGGTAGAATTAAGCCAAAACCGGTGAGAGGTCAAGCACCTGCTCAGTACAGATAGAAAGCAATAAAAGTTTTTATTGCTTAGGCAGTTTGAAAACTATACGATTGCTTTTTAAACCTGTGTTATCCGTACGCAGTACAACCAAATTCTTCAGCTGGGCAAAATATCAACCGGTTAGTTGATTGAAATTACTCTTTAGTCATTTCGTGTACCAAAACCTTTCACAGATCGCTGTCACTGATAAAGATCCACTCCGAAAAAACAAAGCAAAAGAATTGATAAATTTAGTTAACTGCAATTCCCGCCGTCAAAAAATGCAATAAATTACATT